CATCTCCTCCCCTCGCCCCTGCACCCTCTCCCCTCCCCCAGGCTCCTCCCCCAGGCTCCGCGCCGCCCTCCCTTGGCTGGGACACCACCTCTATTGTCTTCTCTGAGATCCTCAGCTTTGCCAAGCCGTGCTCAGAAGACGCTATTGATTTCCTTTTATTTACTTATTTATGAGACTTCTCCATGGGCAAAAAAGAGGTTTGTACAACGCTTCTCTCAGCAATGAGAAGTTTTCTCCGCCCACAGCCTCCCTCCTGCTCACACTCCTAGACTCCTCTCCCGTCTCCACACTCCAGGGGCTTGCATCTCCTGCATGCAAGATGCAGGGACGGGCAGAGATGAAATGGGGCTACATGGCCTGTGCCATGCCAGGTACATAGTAGGTGCTCCAAACTACCTGTGAGAGAGGTGGGTGAAGGAAGTTTTGCGTGAGCCGTGGCTGATGCCAGAGGGTTAGGGGGCAGAGGATGGCCCACTCCTCTGAGCACTGAGCCTGAGCTGGCCCAGTGCTGGGCGGCTAGGACCCTTCTCATCTAGTCCCCATAATAACCGTGCATGGTGGATTTCATTACTTTTGTTCAATGGGAAATTCAGAGGGGTTCAGCACCTTGTCCAAGGTTACCCAGCCCGTGAACCCAAATTCACATCCAGGCCTAATGGGTGCCAGGGTCCAGCTCTTCATCGTCTAGTGTAGCCCCTAGGGGAACAAGAAGCCATGCAAGAGACCGCCAGGAGCTGAACCCTGGCAGGGCCCTTCCGTCCTCAGGAAGCCTTCATGGGGCTCAGCACCTCGGTGGATCCAAGTCTACTCTTGCCCATCCCTCCTGTCTTGGAGAGGTGGGCATGTGGGCATCTGTCCTTGGTCCTGAACCCCCAGCACTGAACTTCAGGCATAGGGTTGACTTGGGTCTCTCCAGGCAGAGCTAGTGGGGATTCCAGATGTCACTCAGGGCTCCCAGTTTGTTAGTTAAACCTGTGACACGTTGAGCCCTAACTGCCCTGTGTGGACTTTTCTGTCCCGTTCTGACCCCTACACACATTTTTCTCCCATGGATGCCACTGTCTGGAGGGCCTGTTCCCACCCCGATGCTCCCGACTGCCTCCTGGACGTTTCGGGAGCCCAGATCCAGCTTTGCTCCCTCCTTGCACACCTGACTCACCTGCCACAGCCCCACTGCGCTGTGCCTGCTGGATTGTCGCCGGCCAGCTGTGAGCTGCTGGAGGGCAGGGGTCACATCTCATTGAGTTGGTCTCCCTGGGCTTGGGCACTAGAAGGACAGATAGACATCTCTGTTGATCCCCTGCAGCCGGCAGTGGGTCCACGTGTTCATCCTGCAGCTGCGGGAGGCGTGGCCTTTGCATTCACCTCGATGCTTCTCTTCCTCTCTTCGTCTGGCAGGAGTTCCCCTTGGCCATCCTCAGAGGCTGGGAGTGCTACTGTGCTTACCCCACCTCCCAGTTCAACCTGCGGGATGCTGTGGACAGCTCGCTGTGTGGCCAGGAGTCTGAGGCACAGAAGCTGGCAGAGTACTGCGAGGTCTACCAGACGCCCGTGCAAGGTGAGCCCCGCCCCCGAGGTGGGCAGGGCGTGAAGGGTCCTCCTCCCCGTGCCTGCCTCTGCTGGTGGCCTGTGGTGTGAAGATTTAGAAATGCTGGCCATGGTGGAGTGTGCAGTCCTGGGGTAGGAGGGGCATCTGTGTCAGAACCCCGGGATCCTCGTGGATGGTCTCAGCTTGGGATAATGGATGGAGGAGGCCTCCGCCATCTCTGGAGGCTGGACCAGGATGCAGGGCTCAGTTTGAAAAGCACCTGACCTTAACCTGAATCTCTCTGGGGATGAAGGTGGTTTGAGGAAAGAAAGAAGAGCAGAGAGGCAGGGTCCAGGGGAACAGCAAGGGCAAGGTGGCGGCACTGGGTGCCATGGGAGCTCAGGCCACAAGGGCCTCAGAGGCTTCCCGAGGCAGCCCAGGACCTGGGATCCAGCAAGGCTCCTGGGCTGTGGTGTGTAGCATCCCGTCTGCCCGGCTGGCCTTAGGAGCTGGTGGAGGAAGAGCAGACAGGGCGGGATGTTGCCCCCTTACAGAGCCTACTTTGGGGCTTCCACCTGAAGATTTCAGGCAGCCCTGGGGGGTGGGGGGGGAGGAAGAGGAGGCTCAGAGAGGTCACTTGCCTGAAATTAGTCCAGCAAGTTTGTTGTTGGCTGTACCTCAGGGTATGGCATTGGTCCACCCAGCTATGACCCAGCCACCTCCCCTGGAGTTACCTGTGCTGTGCCAGTAGCCAAGGCTTGGCTGTGGCCATGGAGACAAAGCAGGGGCTGCGGGTCCACAGGAGCCAATTTGCACCACACTCTTGTGTGGGCTTTGGGGCCTCGTGGTCCCTGGGGCTGTCTCTGGCCAGCCACGTGCAGGGGGTGAACCCCTCCCCCTCAGTTCACACCTGTACTAAGCGGGAGTCTCGGGTCAGCAGTTTCTATCCAGGGGAGTCCGGCCGTGAGTCTGAATCACCACGGGGCTGAGTGACCCTGACATGACCTCTGACTTTCAGACACTCGGTGCACAGACAGGAGGTTCCTGCCCACCAAGGGCGTGAAGGTCCTCCTCCCCGTGCCTGCCTCTGCTGGTGGCCTGTGGTGTGAAGATTTAGAAATGCTGGCCATGGTGGAGTGTGCAGTCCTGGGGTAGGAGGGGCATCCGTGTAAGAACCCCGGTATCCTCGTGGATGGTCTCAGCTTGGATAATGGATGGAGGAGGTCTCCGCCATCTCTGGAGGCCAGGCCAGGATACAGGGCTCAGTTTGAAAAGCACCTGACCTTAATCTGAATCTCTCTGGGGATGAAGGTGGTTTGAGGAAGGAAGGAAGAGCAGAGAGGCAGGGTCCAGGGGGACAGCAAGGGCAAGGTGGTGGCACTGGGTGGCATGGGAGCTCAGGCCACAAGGACCTCAGAGGCTTCCTGAGGCAGCCCAGGACCTGGGATCCAGCAAGGCTCCTGGGCTGTGGTGTGTAGCATCCCGTCTGCCCGGCTGGCCTTAGGAGCTGGTGGAGGAAGAGCAGAGAGGGCGGGATGTTGCCCCCTTACAGAGCCTACTTTGGGGCTTCCACCTGAAGATTTCAGGCAGCCCCGGGAGGTGGGGGGGAGGAAGAGGAGGCTCAGAGAGGTCACTTGCCTGAAATTAGTCCAGCAAGTTTGTTGTTGGCTGTACCTCAGGGTATGGCATTGGTCCACCCAGCTATGACCCAGCCACCTCCCCTGGAGTTACCTGTGCTGTGCCAGTAGCCAAGGCTTGGCTGTGGCCATGGAGACAAAGCAGGGGCTGCGGGTCCACAGGAGCCAATTTGCACCACACTCTTGTGTGGGCTTTGGGGCCTCGTGGTCCCTGGGGCTGTCTCTGGCCAGCCACGTGCAGGGGGTGAACCCCTCCCCCTCAGTTCACACCTGTACTAAGCGGGAGTCTCGGGTCAGCAGTTTCTATCCAGGGGAGTCCGGCCGTGAGTCTGAATCACCACGGGGCTGAGTGACCCTGACATGACCTCTGACTTTCAGACACTCGGTGCACAGACAGGAGGTTCCTGCCCACCAAGTCCAAAGTGTTTGTGGCTTTGTCGAGCTTCCCGGGCGCCGGGAACACCTGGGCGCGGCACCTCATCGAGCACGCCACTGGCTTCTATACCGGGAGCTACTACTTCGACGGAACTCTCTACAACAAAGGTGAGCAGGGGCAGAGAGTGGGGAAGGCGGCTCCCATGGCCAGACCGTCCCCTGGGAGTGCGGGAGCAGTGCTTCTCCCACGCGTGTGAGTCAGAGCCTCCCCGAGGGCTTGGTAAATTCAGCCGATTCCCCGGCGGCGCCTTGGAGTCTGGCCCAGTTGATCTGGTATGAGCCTGGGAACTGCCGTTCCTGGCAGGCTCCCAGTGACGATGGAGGCCGGCCTCGGGCCACACTGAGAGTGACAGCTCATGGGCTCCGCTCTGGACTCAAAGGGGAAGCCTAGTGGCGTGGATTTCCTCTCTAGAAACCTTTCCTGGACTTTCCTTGCTTTTCAGAACCCTCAATCATTGAGTGAGATGGTATCTGCTAACTCCTTTTTCCTTTTTAGGCAAGGGGTAGCTTATCAAAATGCTTTTTTTTTTTAATCCTCACCCAAAGACATGCTTAGAGAGAGGAAGGGAAAGAGAGTGAGAGAGAAATAACCCTGTGAGAGAGAAGCATCGGTCAGTTGCCCTCCACACATACCCCAACTGGGGATCCAACCATAACCCAGATGTGTGCCCTGGCCCGGAATCAGCCGGCAACCTTTTCGGTGCACAGGACGAAACTCAACCAACTGAGCCACCCCGGCTAGGCTCACAATGCTATGTTTTAAAAATTGGTCTTAAAATCTTCAAGAGTTTTATGGTTTAAAATCTTGCAGAAATAAGGGGCTTTAAATGGCTTGAGTCTGCGCTGTTTCAGAACCAAGAATCTCAGGTGAGTCCAGTGGCATCTCCATGTGTGAAATATATTTCTCTGTTGTCAAGTGTCACAACAACTAAGTTTCATCACTAGAGTTTGGTGTAGGAAAAGAGGGTGCTATAGTAGCATCCTAGAGGAAACGGAAACTTCTGAGCTTGGCAGTGGGTTCTGGAATCACCCACAGCAACTTCAGTCTGGTCGGGACAAAGCCAAGGTTGTTCATACAACGCTTTGTCCTTGGGAGCCTTGGTTATGGGTACCTACAGGTGAGTGGTCAGGGGAAGCACGTGGTTTTGCCCACTCTGGCCTAGTCCCCTGGGAACCATCCACTGTGTACAGCAAGCATGTCAAACTCAAAGGCTAACAGGGGCCAAATTAAACGAGGCATGTGGCCCTCAGGCCGTGAGTTTGACATGCTTGTTGTACAGGCTGCAGTAACCTGCCTTGTTCATCTAGAAGGCTTTCACCTGTCTCTCACAGCTGGCTATTTTGGTCCACAAATGGCTAAGTGGCCCAGTGGTTTGAACAGCCACATATAAGTGTTGCACAAGAAAATCCGACACAGCACGAGCACACAATAATCAGTGTTGAAAAATATGTGATTCTTTGTGTGGGTGGGTAGAGTCTGACCTTCTTAGCCAGAAGTGATTTGGGCTCGAACGCCCAGGACTGGCCCAAAAGACCCAGGAAGAAGGCAGGCCCCCAGCCCAGAGATATTGTTCCAGGGGAGCAGGGCTCTGTTCATAGAAACTGGGCCCTGGGTTCTGCAGGGCTGGGCTCAACCACTGTGGATGAGACCTTGGCCAGACCTGCTCTGGGGTCCCAGGTAGAGAATCTCCACAGGTGCAGGCTGGAGCCCTGTTACAGGACCGTGGCGTGAGGTCAGAGTGGGGGAGGGGGAACAACAGCTGCTCACAGCCCTTGAGTGTAATGATGGGGATCCTGCTCCTACTGTGGGGAGCTGGGTGGAAGTGGGGGGCTTCTCAGGGACACACACAGCCACGTGGAGAGAGGCCTGGCTCTGTTGCCATGGTGCTCTGTGATCCTGGGCAAGTCACACACCCACTCTGAACCTCAGTCACTTCATCCAGTTATGCATGCAGCTATAGTTGACTCGCAGGGGTATTTGTGATGTTCATGTGAAATTGCCAAGAAAATACCCAAATGTATGCATCTCCAGCACCTAGAGACGGGGCATGGTCAAGCCCTCTGACTCCTGACTCCTGGGGATCTGCAGGAGGTGCCTTATCTCCTTTGTCTAGCAGACGCCATCTTTCCCAACTCTGAGACATCTCCTGCTGTCTTGGGCAGGGTCAGTCCTGTAGAGGCCGCTCCTGTCCACCATCATAGGCCCCTATTGCCAGCCTTCCCTCAGGCAGGCAGGTGAGCATTAGGATCTGTCTGCCCCTTGGCCCTGTGGGTCCCACAATGCCTTCCTCCAAAGTGGCCCTCTCCTTCCCCCGGGCAGGGTTTAAGGGCGAGAAGGACCACTGGCGGAGCCGGCGCACCATCTGTGTGAAGACCCACGAGAGTGGCAGGAGGGAGATCGAGATGTTCGACTCAGCCATCCTGCTCATCCGGAACCCGTACAGGTCCCTGGTGGCCGAATTCAACAGGAAGTGCGCCGGGCACCTGGGCTACGCAGCTGACCGCAACTGGAAGAGCAAAGGTAGAGAAGGGGCCTGGGGGCGGGGCCTCACTGCAACGTTATTCATGGAGTCAGCCTGCTGACACATGCTTACTGTGTGCCAGGCACTGGGCAAGGCCGGGG